CTACTGTGAGCTGCTGCATGCGTGGGACCTAGATTACCGTATTTCCCCGAAAATAAGACCTCCACATAAAATAAGCCCTAGCAGGATTTCCAAGCATTTGCACAATAGAAGCCCTACCCCGAAAATAAGCCCTAGTGACGGGCGTGGCTGCGCAGCGCATCTGCACAACCCATGCAGTTTGTCACAGAGCGGGAAAGAAGACGAGCAGCCCTTCTCATCTGCCGCATTGTGACAGCTACCGTCCCAGAGGTGACCGGAAAGGTGCGGCAGCCCCACCAACAAGGTCTGCTGCCCCTGTCGGGTCCCGGCCATCCTGTGCATGCTGCAAGCTGAGGCTTGGAGGGGAGAATGACACATCCCCTGAAAATAAGCCCTAGGGTGTCTTCTTGAGGAAACATAAATATAAGACCCTGTCTTATTTTCGGGGAAACACGGTACACGCTCCTTATGAGAATCTGATGCCTAATGATCAGGGGTGGAGCTGAGGAGGTGAGGGGAGCAGCTGCAAATACAGGTTATATCACCTGCAGGCAGGTCTGTCTGCACAACAAATGCAAAGTGCTTGAATCTTTCCAAAACCATCCCTCTCTGCCCCCTCCGTGGAAAAAATTGCCTTCCGTGAAATGGATCCCTGGTGCCAAAAAGGTTGGGGACCGCTGGTCCAGCTGAACTTCTCCTCAGCATGGAAGCGTGTCCACCCATCCAGCCACCCACCACGTGTCTAGCATCTGCCACGTTGCCGGGCAACGGACCCTGCGCTAGCAAGACAAGGCCATCCACACGTGGCCCGGTCACAAGGTGCTCACAGTCCAGTGGGGGCCAATTCAGCGTTCTTTCCACAATGGCCTTGCACCCTGATTTTGCTCACTTCTTGCGCTGGGAACTCAGCACCGGGCAAGGAATCTCATTCTATCTTGTGGCATATGTGGCCTGTTCACCTCCTTCGCTTTTTTTTGTAAAAGAATCTGAGGCCCAGGGAGCGGAATGCGCGGCTGAGCTTAACCGCAAGCCAGCGGCACAAGGGCCCGCCAGTTTCAGGGCTGTTTCTTCCAGCTCCGGGCTCTCTGAGCTGCGGCACGGTGCTTGCAGGTTCTGGCTGAGATACTGAAGAGTTAAAAACTCATAAGGAGTTTACGTTGGTGACCACAACATCTACGTGGCATCTCAAATGCACAGTGTGTTCTGATGGCTGACTTTGCAAACCGAAAGTGCAATAAAATCAATCTGCTATCGTCTTAAAAATATTTTTATTTTATTTATTTATTTTTTTGAGACAGTGTCTTGCTTTGTTGCCCAGGCTAGAGTGAGTGCCGTGGCGTCAGCCTAGCTCACAGCAACCTCAGACTCCTGGGCTCAAGCAATCCTCCTGCCTCAGCCTCCCGAGTAGCTGGGACTACAGGCATGCACCACCATGCCCGGCTAATTTTTCTATATATATATATATTAGTTGGCCAATTAATTTCTTTCTATTTATAGTAGAGACGGGGGTCTCGCTCTTGCTCAGGCTGGTTTCAAACTCATGACCTCGAGCGATCTGCCCGCCTCAGCCTCCCAGAGTGCTAGGATGACAGGCGTGAGCCACCGCACCCGGCCTTAAAAACATTTTTTTAAGATTGCTTCTTTCCTGCCCTGGGGGGGGGGGGGACAGAGCCGTGACAGTAGTCTCTGGCTCCGGGCCTGGCGCGGACGTGGGCTGTGGGGCAGGAGGCGGCGCTTGGGCTTCACGGGTGCCAGGCCCGACCGCAGCCGCCCGGGTCCCTCTCCCACCCAGGGTTCTCGTCCCCACCTCTCCAGATAACTCAAACTACTCCGTGTGAAAAAAAAACAAAAAATCTAACATAGCAACACAGAGCCTGGGACGAGTGAAAAGTTAGCTTGCGTTTTTCAAAAAAGTGATTTCAGTGGAATGAAAGCATTGCTTGAATTCTGCAGAAGAACGGCACACCGAAGCGAGAGATCTAACTCCCTTTCCGCCATGCCGACCGTCTTCCCGTCCCCTCCGCCCCCAGCCCCTGGCTGCACTGGGCAGGCGTCCTCCCTCGGGAGGAAGTGACCCTGAGGCCGCCTGCCCAGCGACCTGGTGACATGTCCCTCCAGACGGCGACCTTCCGTTCTCACGGGCCTCCTGGCCTGGCCCGGCCCTCAGGGGAACTTCGCCTGCTCCGTGCTTTTGGAAAAGCCGGGCCACTTCCACACGGGGGCCTGTCTGGCTGGGAGCACGGCGCTGGGGGTCTCCAGGCTGTAGCTGTCTGCGGGGACACTCTTTAGCAAGTGTCTAAAGGAGAACACATTTTGGAGGTTGGTCTGATACCACAGGGGCAGGTGGCCCAGGGGCCAGCCTCGGGCTCTCCCTCGGCACCAAGCTGACAACGACGCCACGGCCCCCGGTCTCAAGATGCTTGCCCCAAATATAAAGGGATTCACCTGTCAGCTGGAATTTTCCGTTTCTATTTTGTTTAATGTCATGCCAGACTCAAACTACGTGCATACAAGTGTGTGT